TGTGATTTTTCGCAATTATTTCTACTTCAAGCTGGTAGTGGAAAAGGGCCTGAGATGATCATATAAAAATTATTTTGAATAGAGTTCCTCATCACTCCCATATAGAAATATACCTATGCTAGTGAAAGAATATAGGAAGGAAGCGAGTTGAGGAAGACTTGGCACACTGCAGGTGGTTAGTTGAACCCTCCTACTGAAGTCGATGCCACTAGACGCAGAGACCACTTCAACCTAGGAAAAAGCGTTATATGGGCCTTGGAGTTGCTTTTTCAATGTTAAGTCCTCTTTGGCCAGTTCAAAATGCAGGTATAAAGTTGTTGCCAAATCGAGGGATGAATACGAAAAGAGACGACAGGTGTTTAATTTCGAGCACATCCATACAGACCTTTTTCAGTCCCTTACTGATGACACAGAACTGTACACCACTAAAGTAGCTTCCGCAATGGTTAGATAAGGTCCGAAAATGCCATTCAATCCATGAGATGGAGAGAAATTGCTCTGCTCTCATCCGAGTGGAAAAGGTTCGCATTTGTAGTTAACTATCAAAAGTTCCAAATAACCGCAAAGGCTGTCTTGTGTTGAATGACTCAGTGGAACGCTAGGAACTGCTGAGAAATTAGTCATATTTGAAAGCCAACACGATGCGGAATTTTGCTATGGAGTCGATTGCAGCATAACCTCCAATTACTTAAGGCGTGAAAATTCTGACATCCACTTTCTTAAAACATTAACATTCCTATCGAGAGCTTGGTCAAACAGTAAGAAGCACTGATACTGCTTATCATCCAGTTTATTCTCAACGTCAATATCCGCGAGGAAAAAATGAGAAACGTGTGACAGTTCGGTGCCGAGCTGCCGGACAACGATGATTGCAATCCACTCAGTAAATATCAAAACACACTCTCCTCTACTTGAAAAATAAGTATGTCAGAGGATGAAGAGTCACAACTATCCATCATTAAGTGGTATAAAGGTTAAAAGTTTAGGGAATTAAACAAAAACAAACTCACAAATCTCATCATTCAAAGGATCCTTTAAACTGCCAGCTTCCAAGAGGGAATTCACAATACTGCTTCCAGGATCCAAAACTAATTCCTCCATCGTCATCTTGCTTCTTCGAAGCTTGTTTTTTTTGGAATCAGTCGCAACATCCATAACTTTCTTAGAAACTTCTAGAACTGGCTTCTCTTCCTCTTCATCATCTAACCACGTCATCCCAGTGGTAGTTTCAATGGCCGGCAGGAAAAAGGGAAGTTGTGCAGGTCCCGTGTCGTCTGTGACTTTCATTGCCTCCGCATTGCGTTTCTTAATGGCATCCAATTGGAGAAAGGCCGTGAAGAAAGATGGTGGCAGACCGGAGAGAGTTGTCATCTTATCTTGCAGCTGGTCCGGAGAAAGATAACTTGAGGAACTGCAATGAAAGAAGCAATACGGGACCACTAGAGGATCAAACTCATTATACGAATGTGCAAAAGCAGATATACCAGAAAGAAATAGTAAAAAAAAAGGGCTTGGCTACGAAGTACCCGACCGCAAATGCAACATGCTCAGCATTAAAGGTTCTCCCCGGTTTTAGTGCAAAAAGGTCGTTCCATTTGAATATGAGAAGGGCAGAAATACGTAATGGATGACATAAAAAAAGAAAGACTAAGCAATGATGGGAGCTACACAATTTATCCTCATCCGCATGTATTAACAGATGACAATGCGCCTCAGGGACCATAAATTCGGCAACACCTGGCTCTTTTACGAAGGTTATAAAATGGATGAGCATTTTAGATGACATGGCAACTGAATGATTGGTGATAAGAAATAGTTAGACCCAAACGGCAGCCGGAGGTTGAACCGATGAAAAAACTGCCAGAGATTCCAACAGACGAAGTGTTTATCCAGCTAGAGAGCCGTTGAGCACATAAAATGTAAACTGCCTCCTTTTAAGAAAAACTTAAGACAACGCAGGATAGCTATATTCTGATCGGAGAAGAATAATGATCCAAAGCAATGGATCTGGAGAGAGACTAAGGCACGGTTTAATTTTCGGGTGGCAAATGAAGCATAGCCGAATCGATGAATGTGGACGGTGGATTCACCAAAGTAGGTCCTTTCCTCCATGGCTAAAGATACGACTGCATTCCGGAAACCACATGGTGTGGAGTGAATATCGAATACATCACACGGTATGACTCAATTCATTCAGCATTTTTCAACTACAGTCGTGATTTGCTCAAATTTGAATCTACCGTTGCATCATCCTTAAACGTTAGCAGATCTTCAAATTGAAGTGAAAAAGTAAAGTCAATTAGTGAAGGTAGTCGACAAGTGGTAAGGACGAATGGAAAATGCATGAACAAGGGATTCCCCCACGAGAGAATTCAAAGCACAAGGGTGGCAATAGATACTGGGAAAGGCTTAATTTCCGCAACATGCACGACACCCTAAATGAGGTGAACGAAACAAGAACAACTTTTTGGCCAAGCGTTAACTGGCGCCGAAAAATGCATTAAACTATGGAGAAGTGCTTGTGATCAATCCGTGCCGTGGTCTCAGAACCCATAGTTTTTCAAGAGTATTGACTTATCTCTATGAATGAGGTAAAAAAATGAGCTACACAGAAATGCTAATCAAAAAAGCAAAACAACAGCAATCAACGACAGTGGTCGATCCACATAGAATCATAGTGGTAAATTGCTGGCATTTCTTGGGATGAGTCGATCGCGCACAGAAGCCTCCTTTGGTGAAAACAACAACCACGAGTCCCAAATTTTGTCA